TCCTTCCTCCAGCCCCATATCAGCAACTACTCAGGAGAAGTGATGCCGCTGCTCCTAACCTACCTGAAGTCAGTGCCTCCAGGGCATACACACCACCTTGCCAAGGCCTGCTATGCCCTGGAGAACTTCGTGGAGAACCTAGGTAGTGACAGCAGTGAACACTGCAGGGGAGGAGAACGAGGCTGCAGCTTTGACTCGGGAACAAAATGTGTATTTCCTTGAGTCAGTGCCTGTGGTAGGGAGAGGAGCATAGAAAGTTCACTTGGCAGGAGGTGGACTTACAGAAGGTCAGAGACTTGGATTGGTTGGTGAAGTAGTGCCCTTTTCCACAGGACCCAAAGTGCAGCCCTACCTTCCGGAGCTTATGGAATGTATGCTTCAGCCTTTGAGGAACCCCAGCAGTCCCCGGGCCAAGGAACTGGCTGTGAGTGCCCTGGGGGCCATTGGTAAGGAGAAAGAGACAGGAAGCGAGGGCATAGGATTTCCCCAGTGAACCTGTTGCAGGTGGGGTGGTCCTGGCCCTCCTTTGGACTCTGGTTCTGCCTTTTCATCCTGCAGCCACGGCTGCCCAGGCCTCCCTGCTGCCCTACTTCCCTACCATCGTGGAGCATCTGCGAGGATTCCTGTTGGCAGGACACGAAGACCTTCAGCCTGTGCAGATCCAGAGCCTGGGTAACTGAGGGGCTCCCTAGCAGGTTTCTGAGTGCCAAGGAAGGACCAGTGTTCACCTAGTATTCGCAGAGATCTCTCCCAGGGCAGCAGATTGTCTTTCTTCTCAAGGAAGAAGACATTCTCCACACTGTATCTGGGAGTAGGGTAGAAGGCCTATAAATTCCTCCCAGCTGTCAGTTTTGGTCTCCTAGCCCCCTGTGTGGCCTGGTGCTAACTGAGCCCTGTCTCCACAGAGACACTGGGGGTGCTGGCACGAGCAGTGGGGGAACCCATGAGGCCCCTGGCCGAGGAATGCTGTCAGTTGGGGCTGGGCCTTTGTGACCAGGTAGACGACCCTGACTTGCGGCGCTGCACGTGAGTGACCCCTTCATCTCGCTCCTACCCCTCCTGTCCACTCGATGGATCCACAGTCCTCACTCCAGACTCCATCCTCTGCTTTTGGGCCACAGCCAGGATTCTGGGAGCTCCCTCATCCTGTCTGGCTGCAGCAGGCAGCACCAAAAGAGCTTCTGTCTGTCTCCAACAGATACAGCCTATTTGCGGCCTTATCGGGGCTGATGTGTGAGAGCCTGGCACCGTACCTGCCACAGATCACCACGCTCATGCTGTTGTCACTGCGTTCAACTGAGGGCATTGTGGTGAGTAGAGCATGGCCACTGGCTGAGCCGTTTAGACAAGGGTCACCCTTTGCTGAGACTTAGCACCTGGCCCAGAGCAGTCAGGTCCTGCTATACCTCCTTCATGCAGCCTCAGTATGATGGAAGCAGCTCCTTCCTTCTGTTTGATGATGAGAGCGATGGCGAGGAAGAGGAGGAACTCATGGATGAGGATGTGGAAGAGGAGGATGACTCTGAGATCTCAGGGTAAGGAGCAATGCTTAGAGAAGTCAGGCTTTGACAAGGGCCAGTGCCACTCTGCTCTTAGTAGTACCTGATTACTGTCTGCCTCCCCATCTTCTGGTAGGTATAGCGTGGAGAACGCTTTCTTCGACGAGAAGGAAGACACCTGTGCTGCCCTGGGAGAGATCGCTATGAATACCAGGTGAACACCAGCCCTTTCCTGGCACTGGGATCCTCCCCTAGGAGCCCTTTACCCATAACTGTGTGTCTGTCCATAGTGTGGCTTTCCTTCCGTACATGGAGAGTATTTTTGAAGAAGTATTCAAGCTGCTGGAGGTAAGTCAGCAGCGGGGAGCAGGATGGATGGCGCTGTGGCTTGCTGACTGCACCAGTAGGTATACATCTGCCCTCTTTGTTACTCAGTGTCCTCACCTGAATGTGCGGAAGGCGGCGCATGAGGCTCTGGGTCAGTTCTGCTGTGCACTGCACAAGGCCTGTCAGAGCTGCCCCTCAGAATCCAACAGTGCTGGTGAGAAGGGGAACCTGGGCCAGGCTGGGAACTCTGGAGGAAAAGAGCAGGGCCCGACTGGGGCTTTAGCCAATAATGTCCCCAGCTCTGCAGGCTGTTCTGGCACGGGTGATACCATCTTACATACAGACAGTCAATAGGGAGCAGGAGCGCCAGGTGGTGATGGCCGTACTGGAGGCCTTGACGGGAGTGCTACGCAGTTGTGGGGCCCTTGTGCTGCAACCTGCTGGACGCCTTGCTGAGCTCTGTGGCATGCTCAGGGCCGTGCTACAGAGAAAGGTGAGGAGGGCAGGAACCTGTGGAAGGAGGTGCTGGGCCCAAAGATTAGATAGTCCAGTACTAATCCAGCTCCTTGGACCCCTCCCCCAAAGGGGGAAGGGCAGGAGATCCCAGGCTTAGCTGAGCTACACCTTCCTACAGGTAGCCTGTCAGGACTCCAATGAAGAGGAAGAGGAGGAAGATCAGGTGAGAGCTACAGATAACAATAGGCAAGGCAGTCCAGCTAGTCCCATGGGCCCAGGGGTAGCCTACACTCAGGTTGGTCTTGGGGAGCCAGGGCTGCTGGGAGAGATTAGTAATGACCAGAGTGATTCAATCCTGACCCCACTAAGGCAGTGAACTGGAATGGGCTTCAAGTGATAGGTGAGAGCAGAAGCAGGGCTGCAAAAAAGCCCAGTATGGAAGCGGGGCAGTCCGTGAGCCAAAGCACCTCCTGGAGCCACCAGTGGCCAGCAGCAGAACAGAGTGGAGAGGTGCATAGTCACAGAGTTGGCCCAGGTGCCCCAGCCCCTGACTTGGCTCCACAGGCTGAATATGATGCCATGTTGCTAGAGCATGCTGGAGAGGCCATCCCTGCCCTGGCAGCTGCAGCTGGAGGAGACACTTTTGCTCCTTTCTTTGCTGGCTTCTTGCCATTTTTGCTATGTAAGACGGTGAGTGCTCCCCTCTCTGGCTTCAAACTCCAGCTCCCCCCCCACGCCCAATGCCCACTGTGCACTGTGCCAGGCTCATTGACAACCCTGACCTGTCCTTGCCCACAGAAGCAGAGCTGCACAGTAGCAGAAAAATCCTTTGCAGTGGGGACACTCGCAGAGTCCATTCAGGGCCTGGGTGCTGCCTCAGCACAGTTTGTATCTCGGCTGCTTCCGGTGCTGTTGAGCTCTGCCCAAGAGGCAGATCCAGAGGTGCGGAGCAACGCCGTCTTTGGGCTGGGCGTCCTGGCGGAGTTCGGGGGCCGACCTGCTCAGGAGTATCCTTGGCTTGCAGCAGGGGAGGGTGGGGTTGGGACATTGCTCTCTGGGCTTGAGGAGGGATGAGGTCTACCTGTGCATGTGCCTGTCCTTGACCAATGACAGCCACTTCCCCAAGCTGCTGGGCCTCCTTTTGCCCCTTCTGGCACGGGAGCGACATGATCGTGTCCATGACAACATCTGTGGGGCCCTCGCCCGTCTGCTGATGGCCAGTCCAACAAAGAAACCAGAGCCCCAGGTAAAGAAGAGGCTACTAGGCAGGAGGGAGGTGGAGGGGACAGGACTTGAGGGCTAAAGCAACTGTGTATCCAGGTGTTGGCTGCCTTGCTGCATGCCCTGCCACTAAGGGAAGACTTGGAGGAATGGGTCACCATAGGGCACCTCTTCAGCTTCCTGTACCAGAGCAGCCCTGATCAGGTAACGTTGGTGCTGGCAGCCCTCAGACCCAGTGACACACAAAGGTGTGTCCACTATGGTGGGTGCATGGTTTCAGCCATCCTTATACTTACCCAGTGTAGCTGTCTGCTTGGATTGGCAGTCAGTCTTGTATGCAAGATTAGGGGCTTCCTCTCCCCATAATGTTTTTCTTTGGTCGTTTGCATTTCTAACTGCTGAGCTTACAGTTGCACTTCCTAAGATTAATTTTCTAAGCCAGGGCTAGGACACTGTTCTGGAGCCTGGATAGCTTTTGGGTACCTCAGTGTATATTTCAGTCAGAGAAGCCCTGCTTTTTGAATGAAGTTTTACATGGTATGTCACCTTTGTTTTAGAGCTTTAGAGTTGTGGTTCTTTTGTTTTTTGAGTCTGTGAGTGCCTGTTGTCCGGACCTCATTGGTCTTAATCATCTGTGGTCACCCATCTCCCACCTCCTCCAGAAAGTTGTTAGCAGGCATGCTTACTCCTCCTTGTGTCCACATTTGTCTTGGATGCCTGTGGATTAGTGTTGGACTCAAATAGCCCTGGTAGGAGACTGTTGTCCTTGGTCCTGACCACCCACCACAGTGGCCCAAGACTGCTGCTGCCCCTGAGTTGACCTTTCTTTTTCTACAGGTTGTGGATGTGGCTCCTGAACTCTTGCGCATCTGCAGCCTCATACTGGCTGACAACAGGATCCCACCAGGTGAGGGTGCGAGTACTAGGCAGGGGCTAGGGGAGGCTGGGAACAGCAAGGCTCAAAGAGTGTAAAGCAGTATGGGCTTGGAGTCCAGTGCTCCCATGTAAGCTTTCTCTGTGCCTTCTATAAGCTTTCCCTGTGCCTTCTCTCCCCCAGACACCAAGACTGCACTGCTGTTGCTGCTGACATTCCTGGCCAAACAACACGCTGACAGCTTCCATACAGCACTGGGCTTACTCTCTGCTGAGAAGGCTCAGGAGCTCCAGGCCATGCTGAGCCTCACCTAAACTTCAGAGAAAGCTAAGCCTGCCTGCCCAGGCCCTACGACCCATCTCTCAGCCCAGTGCCAGCTCACACCTTACCAAAGACTGGGCCTTTTCTCCATTTGGAGTCAGCCCTGTGTTGCTGCCTTACATTGGTGTCCTTGGGGCCAGGTCTGTTACAAGTGGAGTCATGACATCATATTATAATAAAGGCAGTTTGTTTTCTGCTTGGACAGTTTCTCTGTGAGCAGGTAGGCTAGAAGCGCGCATCTAGACGTGAGGCAAGCAGGCTTAGTGAGGCAGGATATAGTTTAATGAAGCCTGGTTTTTAGCAGCCTTTAAATGGGCTCTACCCTCAGTGGAATCTGGGCCCTGGCCGAATCAGGAGGTGCCCATATGGCTTCTCTTGTTCCACAATAAAAATCTGCTGTGCTGAGAGCACTGGGAAAGAAAAAAAAAAAAAAAAAAAAAAAAAAAAAAATAAAAAAAACGAAGCAGGTTTTTTTTTTTTTTTTTTTTTTTTTTTTTTTTTTTTTGAGAGAAAGCAGGTCACAGGGATTCCCTCTTGTGGCCTCTGTTCTGTGTCCCTGCCATACTTTGCACACTCACACATGCCCACACTCACCCAAGAGCAGGTAGAAGACCCTGGCAGCCATCCTGCGAGAGCTGAGAGGGGGCACTAGGCTGCTGAAGTTGGGCTCCCTGTTGGCCTGGAGCTCCAGCATCACTGCTCTGCAGGAACCAAGAACCATCAGCGGGGGAACCTGCCTGTGTCCACCCTACTGAGGCACCCTCCCCCTAGTACCTGTGTACAGCCTCCAGGGAGAGTAGCTCAGCCTCAGGGGGCAGCTCCAAGGGGAGTTCCATGGGGAGCTCGGGGAGCTCGGGCACCACTGGCAATGCGGGGGGCTCTGGCTGCTCTGCCTCAGCCCAGGCCCTAGGGAAGGGAGCTAGAGCAGTGAGGTGGTAGCTATGGCAGTGATGGGATAGCCATTTAGTCGTTCTCCCACCTCTGGCCAGGGCTGCAGGTCCAAGCTCACATATAGCCTGACTGCTTACCACCTTTCTTCTGGGAGAGCAAGGCTGATTCGGGACTTATCCTCTTCGGCCGCTTCTAGGGAGAGCTCTGTTGGGAGGAGGGTGCAGAGGGAGTTTGTGTGTGGCTTTAAGCAGTCAAAGCCTTGGGACTAGCCAGGTTTGGCTCACTGGTAGAGCAGCTACTGTGCATGAGGCCCTGGGTTCAATCCCCAGCACAAGACACACAGCCATGTGGCCCAGTTTGACTAGACAGCAGAGCTGTGTATTGTCAAAAATATTTAGGTAGATGATCTGCAGAGAATTAGTGTGTGCTTCTTTATGATATATGCCCTTGACCTGCCACTGGAAGTAATTGGGGGGTGGTCTTCATTGCCCCCACTTGAATAGTTGCTTTACCTGAAGATAGCATGAGGGGACCGCTGGGCTCCTGGGCCTCTCTCAGGACCTCGGGATGAGAAAAGGAGAACTGAGACTGAGCACCACAAGCATCTGGGGCTTGGGCTGCTGATAAAAGACAGGCAAGCTTGTGCTGTTGATTTCTGGCAGCAGCCTGCTGGGGCTCAGGTGATACAGGAAGCAGTGGAGTGTTGTTACCTCGATCTCACTCAGAGTTTCAGTCTTCCTCCTTTCCTCCTCAGCTGCTGCCTCCCTTGCAGCAGCCTCCTCTTCAGCCTCCAGGGATGGTCTTCGCCTGGGCACTCTTGGGGGAATCTGGGCACAGTGGGTCCAGAAATCCAGTAGTTCTGGGGGTAACCAGCCAGCTGAGGATGAGAGGACAGGGTTTGAGTCATAAGGCACATCAAAAGTGCAAAATCTGGGTTCTGAAGATTCCCATGTGGGCCCGGGGAGATAGCTCGGTGGCCTAAGTGCCTGCCTGGCAAGCACAAAGTCCTGAGTTCCAGCTCCAGTACCACCCCCCCAAAAAAATCCCCTGTTCCCGATTCCTGCCATTCTTACAGAGTGTTGGGGTTTGGAATAGCTCTGCAGGGCTTATGATGGTCTTCTCAGGTGGCTGCACCTTTGGCTGTGTGGAAGTCAAGGTTAGGAGCTGTTAATGGGGAGCCGCTCTTCCTTTACCCCTGTTGTGTCCATTTTCAGGGTCCCTGGACATCTCCCACTTTCAGGCTTATGACCCTTCCACCTATGCTGCTCGTTGATAAAAGGACTTTAAAACTGGTGCTCACTGGTATGCACATAAAGTTGGGTATGTATAGAAACATGTGTTTTCTAGGGAATGGGGCTCTCTCCACATTGTAAGTGCTCTCACACTTGACCTGTGTCTCCCTTCCCCCAGCAGAGTCTGGGCTGCACTCACACATTCCCAGCAGTAAGCTCTGGTTTGTAGTTGTTCCTGGAATTTCTTCCGGGAGATCTGAGTTTCCTTGTCCAGGAACAGTAACTGGCGGCGACGGCGGCGGCGAGTTGGTGGGCTACCAGGAGGTGGGGGCCGCTTCTGCTGATGAAATGGGAGGTGGAGGCAAGGCTGCCCATCTCTTCCTTTCCTGTCATCTTGAAGGCCTGCTAACTGCCCCTAGGGTATCCTGGGGGAAGGGTTTGTGCAAGAGCATACCTACCTATTTGGAAAGGGAGGTCACAGTGAGGTATGCCAAAGGACACCTTTCACTGATGTGCCCAAAGACTCCAGTGCCAGTGACCCTGAACTTGGGGAAGCAGCTCTGGGGGCAGGGGGAGGGCAAGAGGAAGAGGAAGCTCCTAAAAGATACTACTCACCTCTGGACTGGGTGGGGCCGGCAGGCCCAGCTCCTGTGGGGGAGTCACCTCTGCAATGACACCAGAGGTCCTGGTTTCCCCATAAGCCCTTTCACTGTAGCCACCAGGACAAGAAGCTTTGGGAGACAGCGTTTGTCTGCAGCAGCTATGCAAGCATTCCACTAGAGCACTCAAGCACTGTGGATACTCACCAGGGAGTACGGCACTGGGCTCCCAGCCTACCGGCTTCAGCTCTTCAGGGGCCAGGACCTGACCAGGAAGTGGCTCTTCAATCCCTTCTATCCTGTAGGGGAACAGGAGAAATTAGAAACCCCCTTCCCAGCACTGACCCTCCTACTTGGTCCAGGAACTCTTACTGTACAGGAGCTGGAGGTGAGGTTGAGGGGACTACAATGTCACCCTCCAGTGCCCGGGGCTCTTCCTTGGACTCTGCAGAGAGAGGATCAGAGCTCAGAAGACGGAAAAAAGAAGAGTTAAAGGCACTCCCAAGCCCCAGACTGCCTGTGCCAGGGTCTGACCATCCAGCGCAGGGTGGACCCTAGGCTCCCGGGGAGGCTTGCCCTTCCGATATTCCTCTAATAAGATCGCTTCATCTTCCTCTGCAATCAGCAGGTCCAAGTCTCGTCGGCTGACCTCTGGGAGATCTTGTTCACCCTAGTGAGTAAGGAAAAATCAAGGGAAAAGGGACTTGATTCCATTTTTTTTATTTATTTATTTATTTATTTATTTATTTATTTATTTATTTATTTATTTAAAAAAATTTTTGAGACAGGGTCTTGCTATGCAGTTTGGGCTGGCCTTGTGCTCACTGTTGTAACCCCCAGAGAGGTCTCAAACTCACAGCAATCCTCCTGTCTCAACCTCCTGAGCACTGGGATTACAGGTGTTTGCCACCACACCTGGTTCCAGGCTACAAGTGTACCCGAATATCCTGACACATCACACGGGCATGGGATCGAACTCCATTCCTTGTGTTTGCCAAGTAGATGCTTATGCCTCTGGGCTATCTCCCCAGCCCCTCCATTTATTGGCACAGGGTCTCACTGTTTAATTCAGGATGGCCGTAAATTCAGTATATAGCCCAGGCTGGTCTTGAATTTGCTGAGATCCTCTTCCGAGTGCTGTGATTACAGGCATGCTCTACCATGCCTGGCTCATCAGTTCCATTTATTTTGTTTTGAAATAGGGTCTCTATGTAGTCCAAGCTGGCCTCTAACTTTTGATCCTTCAGTCTCAGCCTCCTCAGTGCTAAGATTACCTGCATGGACCACTATGCCTGGTTCAATTCCTGTGCTATAAAATGTAAGTGGAAATTCAGGCATGGGGGCACGTGCCTCTAAATACCACCATTTAGGAGGCCAAGGCAGGAAAATACTGACAGTTTGAGGCTAGGCTGGACTACATAGAAATACCTTGTCTTTAAAAAAAAAAAAAAAAAATTAGTGGATCTAGGAGAATGAATCCGAGATGGATGCCATAGGGCCAGGCCTGAGGAAGCCCATTGTGTGTACTCAAGTGCCAGGAACAGGGACAGGAAAGGGAGAAATAGAGACAGAGAAGATAGGATTGTGGTGGACAGAGAAACATGCAAGGGGCCAGACTCAAAGGCCTGGGGATTGACTCACCTCGATCTGCAGCATACGGATGGGCTCTACCTCCTGGAGCGTGATGCCCTCAGGAGACAGCATAGTGACCAAGAGCGTGTCTGGAAGAGTAGAGGAGTCATGCCAGCCCCTCTGCTTCTTTCCAAATTCCTAAACCCATGTTGTGAGGCACAATCAATCTGGGTTCTAGTCAGACCCAAGCCAGCCACTGCCAACCTGATCCTATGTATACTGATTCATCTTGGGGAGCCTCTTTCCTCATCCATAAACAGAAGGGAGAATTCTGATCTCATAGGATTCGTGCAGGATGGTGATGAGGTCACAAGTATGGGACCTGGCTTCAAGGTGGTTTTTCTTTAGTTCTTGGACCTTCCTATGCCTCTCATCAGAAAGAAAGTTCTCTGCTGACCTGGCTTCTTGGGCTCTGTAGGAACTTCAGGAGGAGCCTCCTCATGAACTCTCTCTGGGGCTGCAGCTTCTTCTAAGAGATGTCGAATCTTTAGAGAGGAATTGGGGACAAAAACAGGGTTCCATGTTAGCCCTGTTTTCCCACTTTCACACCACTCAGACAATGAAAGATAATGTGGTAAATCTCCCTTTATAGCTAATTTATTTTATTTATTTATTTATTTATTTATTTATTTATTTATTTATTTTGCGGAACTGGGGATTGAACTCAGGCCCTTGTGCTTGCCAGGCAAGCACTTATTCTACTGAGCCATCTCCCCAGCCCCAAGCTAATTTATTTCTAGAATGGGGAGGATGCTGGGAGTTGAACCCAGGGTCTCCTGCATGCTAAGCAAATGCTCTACCACTACACTACATTCCCGGTACTATACCTAATTCTCCTTTCTTTTCTTTTCTTTCTTTCTTTCTTTCTTTCTTTCTTTCTTTCTTTCTTTCTTTCTTTCTTTCTTTCTTTCTTTCTTTCATATTTAGTACAGGGTCTCACTACATAGATCGGACTTGTAGTGATCCTCCTGTTTTCAGCCCCCCAAGTGCTAGGATTATAGGCCTGCACCATCATACCCAGTCTCAGGTGCCATCTCATGCCCTAGGGATGGGCTGGCATGGCTTGTGGTGCAGGGGATTGAAACCTAGTCCCTCCACCCTGCCTAAGCAGGTGCATTAATCCACTGAGCTATCTGGCTGGCCCTCCTAATTGTTTTTTTTTTTTTTTTTTTGAGACAAGGTCTCACTATGTAGTTCAGGCTGGCCTTGGGCTCACTATGTAGCCCAGAGTGGCCTTGAACTCACAATGATCCTCCTGCCTCCCCAGTGCTGGGATTACAGGAATGTGCCACCATAACTGGCTTTACCTAATTCTTTTATTTTTTAATTTTATTTATTTGATACAGGGTCTGGTTATGCAGTTCAGACTCATAGTGATCCTCCTGTCTCAGCGTCCCCAGGGCTGGGATTACAGGCATGCACCACCATGTCCAGTTTCAGGGCCAGCAGGCCCTGGGTTCTGGGGCTGGCATGGCATGTGGTACTAGGGATTGAACTCAGATCCTTGGGCTTGTCAGACAGGTGCTTAGACCACTGAGCTATCTCCCTAGCCCCATGCTACCTAATTTTTATGACATGGATGTTAGCATACAGTAAACACACTTGTCTTGTCTCTCTCCCTGTACCTGCCCTCATCACAACCCCCAAATTATTTAACCTTTGTTAATATGGGCAAGAAGCACTGCACCTTTATGTCAAGTGTAAGAGACAGTTGAATAGGGAAGATTTTTGTGTTATGTATATGCAGGGAGTACTGAGGATTGAACCCAAGACCTCACTAAGCTACATCTCCAGTCCTTCTTTTCTTTTTCTTTCTCTCCCTTTCTTTTCTTTTCTCTTTCTTTCTTTGTAATGAATTTATTTTTGAGACAGGGTCTTGTTAAGTTACTAAATTGCCCAAATTGTACTTAATCATGTGATTCTACTGCCTCAGCGTCATACAGCTCTAGGATTACAGACATGCACTGCCACTCCCAGCAAGGTGAACAGAAAGATACCTGATCTTACACAGATGGTCTGTTGAGGAAACACATTTGTGTATGACCCCAACTAGTGTCAATGCAAAGGTTGAAACAAACCTTTGTAGAGTGCTGAATTCCCAAAGAGCATTTCCAATTCTGACTGGGAGTAGAATAAGGACTTGTTGGAAAGGAGTATCTTTTGAGCCCCTGGTCTGTAAGGATGTGTAGGTCTTGACTAGTAGAAAATGAGGAGTGACCATTATGGGCTTGGGAAACTTCTTTTGCATAAACAAAGTGAATATGAGGGGTAGAGGGGGCAGATTGGGAGGCAAAGATGCCCAGGATATACATGGAGCTAGAAGTGTGAGGAGGGGCACCTGAGCTGGAGCAGAGGGCACAAAAGCCATGAGCCACTGCTCAAATGTGGAAGCAGGCAATAGGGTGACATTATCTAAGCTGTAGCAATGCTGGGAATGGACAAGGAGGAAAGAGACAAGAAAGGCCAGTCCACAGATGATAGGACCTGCATTAAGGCCTTGCAGTGGACACTGTGTGGAGGTAAGGGGACTAAGAGCTGCCTCAAGAAGAAAGAGCATCATTATCAGGCTGGCCCTGAGTAGACCATATAAGGAGTTTGCCTGCATGGGCCCTTGATAACAGTCCCCTACCCTGCCTCCTGTGGGAAGGAGCTATGGCAGGCTTGGTTATCCGAACCTCAGTGTCAGATAGGAACAGCATTGCCCTTCTTCACTGTTAGCCCACAACTTCGAGGTGTTCCAGAAAATTGAGCTCTACCTGAGGGATTTCAAAAGGGCTGGGAAGTCGGGGATCCACAGACATCATCCCAAAAAAGGGGTCTGGAGCATCTTCCAGGGCCTCCATCATGGCCAGGTGGCTGGGAAGCAACAGGCTGGGTCTAAGGGAAAATGTGCACTGTCAGGGATGGAGACTGAGATTCGCTGGGGACAAGAAGGTAGGTGCCATCCAAATGTCTGGGTGCCCCAGTCTGGGAGAACACTCACAGTTCAGCCTCGACCATATCGATGCGGATCTGTAGCTGAGCCCGGTATAGGCGCTCTAGGATGTGCTGGATATCCTCTGGGCAAGAAAGGCAAGATGGAGAACCAGCCTAGTGGAAGGCTGCTCAACACTGCCCCACCTTCCGGGTTTCCAGCCTTACCCACAAGGTACTGGCATTGTTGAGAGTAGACCCTAATAACTCCAATCTGGAGCTGCGCAGATAGATAGAGAGAGAAGCGGGGCCTGGGCAGGCCGGGCATCGGGGGTTGCACTCGGACCAGCACGTAGTCGAGGATTTCCTCACTGGGGGAACAAAGCGCCCTCGTGGCTGCCAAGCCCCCTAGTGTCACCCTTTCCCCCCACTCCCCCCACCCACCCACTGCCCCAAGTCTTCCTTCCTGCCTTTTCAGGACCTTACCAGGTCTTCACCACATTCACCTTCAGGTATTCGCGTTTCACCAACCGGCTGCCACGAGTTGCTGCCAGCCTGGAAAAGGAAAGGGGTGGACATGGAGGGGGTGCTATCAGGCCAGGCTCCCTGGCGCCTCTACCTACCCGGGTGCACAGCAGCCAGGTCTCACCAGATGGTGGCGAAGCAGCCGGTGTGGCGCTGAAGCACATTCGGATAGTAGAACATGGTCCTTTGGGTTTCAACCTGGACTCCCCGTCTCCTTGGTTCAGATCTCAATCAGAATTCTTAGGAGATTAATGAAAGGAATAACGGAACAAACACAAGGGTTGGGACTCTGCTCTGTGCGGGCCCTGAGTGGCTCACGGGCCACCTGGGTGCATCCAACTTACTGGAGACGCCGCTTCCAGACTGGAGATGCCACGTCCCAAGGGGAGGCCCGGAGTGGGAGTGGGCTGCCGAGCAGCTACCCAGGGAGCAGGTGGTCTTTGCAGCCTTGGCCCTCTAGCGCTGGAAGAGGCTGAGCACCTGGGTCTCACATTCGGTTTGGGTGGCCCTCTCGCGGGGTTGAGGGGGCTGCGTCATGCAAAGTGGAGCATGTGCTGTGGGGGGGCCTCACATCTAGCTCCTTTTCGAAGCATCACGAACAGCCAATAGGAAGCCAGCCTCAGCGGGAACACTGGATCCTGTCACCAAGCCACTACTTTGGGTTCCAGGCCTCAGAGCCTTGGAGATAGGCAGCCAACCAATCAGAAGAACCCTGGTGAGGCATTGTGAAGTGTCCTGGCCAATAGGGTCTCATTCCTGCCTTTAGTAACAAGGACTTCTTAGAAGTTGTGCTAACCAATGATTGAGGGGCAAATCCAGCTTCTCCCTCACAGCGAGGTTGGTAACAAATTGTCTCAACTAGAAGCCAGAAGTGGGGTCATGTCGGGGTCAACTGTCTTCAACTGTCTTCTCAGTCTCTACAGGCAGAGGAGTAAGGGTGGGGCAGGTGTCAGACTTATGCTTAGATGTAGTCCTCTTCCCTAGTTTCCACCAGGTCCAGCTTTGTGTCCAGTTTACAGAGGGGAACATGGGGTACCTCACCAGGGCCATTTCTTTCTCACTTTCTTTCCTTGTTTTCTTTCTTTCTTTCCTTTTTCTTCCTTCCTTGTTTTTCTTTCCTTCCTTCCTTCCTTCCTTCCTTCCTTCCTTCCCTCCTTCCTTTCCTTTTTTTTTGGTTATATGTAGCCTAGGCTGTTCTTGAATTCCTGGCAATCCTCCTGCCTCAGCTTCTTCACTGTTGGGATTACAGGTGTGTGCTGTCACTCTGGGCCTCCAGAGCCATTTCTTAAATTTTTTTTTTTTTTTTTTTTTCCAGGGATTGAACTCAGGTCCTTTTTGTGGCCAGCCAGCCCAACCAGGGGGGAGGC